CAGAGATGATGGAGTGAGAAATCGGGACCGTGCCTGATAAAATGCCAAGGGCTCATTGGTCCTGCAAATGTTGCTGAGTGCCGGCCATGCACAAAGCACGGTGTGAGACCTGGGGTGCTGTGAAAAGTCAGGAAACTCCCGGCCCTGAGGACCAGGCACGTAGGACACCAGCTGTGACATGCGTGGTCAGTGCACTGTGGGGACAGACTCTGCCTGGGAGCATCAAGGAGGGCTCTCCTGAGGAAGTGACATTTGAGATGGGGAAGCGCTCAGGCACGGGTCATCCAGGCAACAGAGCACTGTGAGGTGGGATGACCCTGGTTGACCTGCTCAGCAGAAAGAAGGGCTGTGTGTTTGGAGCCCCGTGAGAGAGGAAAGGTGGGAGATTGGAACAGAGGGGTGGGTGGGGGCTTGGAGGCCAAGGTAATGAGTTTGGAATTTAGGCCTGATGAGAGCCTGCTGTGAGAGTCTAAACAGGGAGCTTTATTGTACCCATTTGGCTTAGGTCTGACTGAATATCTGAGCCCTGGAAAATAATGATTTCAATAATAAATTTATTTTAAATTAAAAAATATAAAGCTATCAAAGTTAAATTCAAAAATAAAGAGTTATCAAGGGCCTAGGCTATTTTCATATCACTATTCTACTATCCCTAGGGTATAGACTTTGTCTTCACGATCCAAGTTGGCTGCTAGAGCTCCAGCCATCACATCCCAGTTCCAGCTTCAGGAAGGAGGAAGTGAGAGAAAAGGGTACAACCTCCCTTTAAAAAGGGTATTCGTGGGGGTGCCCCTGTGGCTCAGTCAGCTGAGCGACCACCTCTTGATTTTGACTCAGGTCATGATCCCAGGGCCCTGGGATCAAGCTCCATGTTGGCTCTCTGCTGAGCGTGGAGCCTACTTGGGATTCTGTCTCTCTCACCCTCTGTCCCTCTCCCCCGTTCGCTCACTTTCTCTCTCTCTAAAGTATACATACTTACATACACACATACGTAGGGCACTCTCCTTGGGTTTATGTCCCATTGGGCAGAACTTGTCACTTGGTCACACGGAGCTGCCTGTGAAGTTAGGAAATGCAGTCTTTTACTTGGATGTCAGTCTACTTGGTTCTTTTTTTAAGGGGAGACTTGACGCCAGGAGGAAACGAACGGCCTCCTGCTGGCTGCCGTGTGAGGGACGGACTAGAGAGAGGAGAGGGAGGCAGGGAGCGCTTGGGAGGGGACTGAGGGCAGCTGGGAGGAGAAAGCCGGTGCTGGCCGGGACCCAGGGAGGTTCAGGTGCGTGAGGACACGGCGAGACGAGGTCTGACTGAAAACAGCTCTGACGGAAAAGCCAGCGGGACGCAGGACATGGAAGGGCAGCAGCGGAACCAAGGGTGACACCTGGCTGAGTCTGAGCAGCTGGGCCGGTGGCGGTGCCAGACCTGAGCTGGGGGGGACCCGAGAGGGACAGCAAGTGCAGGCTGGGGGTGCCACCAGCACAGGACTCCCCCCCGCCCCCCACCACACTGCAGCGATGAGCAGAGGCCGGGAGGATGGCCCCGGCCCCTGCGCTGTTCCTTGGAGACCCCCCAGCAAACCGTCGGGTCCAGCCTTCCCCAAGCTATGCACTGCGCTGCACTCCCCGGGGTCACAGGTGGGGACAGAGTAGTCCTGGTTCATAGACTTCACCTCGCCGTGAGCCGGCATACAGCTCCAGGGCACTCGGGTCCGAGGGTGTCTCTCAGCCAGCACGACCCCCACCCCACCCCGGCTCCTTTCTCACGGATCGGGCAGAAGCCATGAAGGTGGGGTACACACTCAGGCCAGGCCAGCCACATGTCACAGCTAGGACAGCGCCTGGGGCGCTGAGGGAAACCGAGATGTCCCAAGGGCGCCCAGGACTCGGCAGCGGCATCAGCACGCGGGCCCCTGGGTCATAGGCCTGTTTTTAGCCCCCGGTGGAGGCAGAGCCCCTGCTCACCCTCCCTGCCCGAGTCACTGCCGGCCTGGCGTGCCCGTCACCCAGGCCCCGAGGCCAGCCCTCCAGGCCGATGCCCCGGGGGAGGCTCAGATGCTGCAGAGGCTCCTGTCCAACACGGCCCCGCCTCTCTTAGTGGTCAGCCCTCCGTGTCCACCCTGGGTGACTCGGGAATCCGAAGGTTGGGGTCTTTGGGACGGGACCCCAGGGAGCTGGAGCTGGGCCGGCGCTGTGGCTTGGGCTGCTCGCCGGCAGGCCACCTGCAGCCTGCCTCCCAGGGTAGGCAGCCCCCAGAACTTTCCCATCCACCTTCTGCAGTAGACGGCCCTCTGATGCGTCAATAGCTGCCTGGCGGCACCACTCAGTTCTGGAAAGTCTCCACAGAAGCCTTTGGCCCCGTGTACCTTGTATGCAGAACCTTTTGTCGGCCACGCAGTGGACAGGTGCTAGCCTCATTTGCTTTGTGTCCCTCCCACCCCAAGGGAGATTTCCAGCAGTTTCCCTCACTCCTTGAACTACATGCCACGGGTGACGTAGTCTGGGTTTCCTCTAGCTCAGTTGGAGGACTGGGTGGTGAAAAGATTTGAGAGTAGACTGATGGGCTCATGATGATTACCATGTCCATCAATAGAAAGCCTGACACCAGAAAACCCAGGAGGTCAGGGATATGGCAGGCCTGGGGCACCCCACTCCCAGCCCCCAGCAAGGGCGTGGCCTCCCCGTGGGCTGCAGCCTGGGCATGCTGAAGCTGGGGGGAAGGCAGCTGGAAGAGGGGGCGCGGGGTGCTGACACCGGCTGCCCGGCCCAGGTGGATACAGCAGGGCCCACTCTGACCTGCACCCACCCAGCTCCCTGGACCGACCTCTCCCAGTGTGCTATGTCTTGTCTGGGGCCTGGGACGTGTGAGGGGCCGGGCTGCAGAGAAGATGGGGGGCCTGAACACCATGGCACTTGCCCGTTTCTTTCCAGTAGCTTCATGCGTAGGGGCTTCTCTGGGAGTGGGACACGGGTCTTGGTGATGCCACTGACTCTGGGGAGCACGTCCCCTTAGGCTTGCCCTACTGAAAAGTCCCAAGGAAAGAACCAGCCCAGAGCAGGGCCTGTGCCCGCCAGCCGCCCCTCACCCCTTCCTGGCCTTAGCTTCCCACACCTGCCTTCCTAGGCCCATGCCCTACATGAGAGGCTGGCCTGGGCCCCGGGGGACTGTAGGCTTCTGAACACGAGGGGTGCAGCATGCGGCCACACCGGCTCCTTGCCTGGCCCGGCTCTCCCAGCCGCATCTCTCTCCCACCTCTGGGACGCCCCCCAGTGCCGGGCCGCTACAACACCTACTAAGAGTGAGGGACCCGGGGCAGGCAGCGGCCACGAGGCAGAGCTGTTCCTCCGAGCCCTCTGGGGTATCGCAGGCCAGAGGGACCACGTGGTGGCTGTCTCCTGCTGTTGGGTCAAGAGAGGGATCTGAGCAAGGCCCTGTCACAGACCTTTCTGGGTAAAGCCTGTCACCCTTGGTGTGGCCCCCGTGCCAGGCACCAATTGCCATCAGAGGCACTACAATCAGTCAGCAACTGTGCTCGGCACGTGCGGGCCTCCTCACAGAGGCTGGCCTCGGGGTCGGACACTCCTGATCTTGAGTCCCAGCTCTGGCACTTCCTCTTGTGAGCTTAGGTGAGTGCCTGCCCCTCTCTGGTCCTCAGTTTCCTGACCTATAAATGGGATTAGTAACACAGTGACTAGTTATCGGCACAGCAGTACTAACAAACTTTCCCTAACTCAGTCACTTACAAGGGCAATTCTTTCTTTTCGTGGCGCAGGGGTTCAGCTGGGGATCAGAGACCCCAGGGCGGCTCAGCCGAGCTCCGTGCATCCCTCATCCTCTTCCTGGGATGACTGGGAGAGCCTGGGCGTGTTCGCGATGGCGTGGAGGACAGGCGGGACCACGCAAGGCCTCTGAAGGGCTGGGCCATGTCCCTCAGTCAGGCACAGGGGGCGGGGAACACAAAGACACAAGGCACAGGGCATGCCCACGGGCAGGGGTGAAGACCCAGGCCCATTAATGCAGTCTCCTGTCATTCCTTCATGAGGTGCTCGTGAAATTCTGAGCAAAGAGTGTGTGTGCCCGGAGTGTCCTTTGTAAACTGTTAGATGCTACACGTGTGTGTGCGGTACTGGCGATGGTGAGGTCCCGGGGCTTCTCCGAGAACCTCCGACTCTTCCGAGACCACTACCTTCCTGGTTATGGTGTTACACGTGGTTGATCATCGTCCTTGAAAATGGCAACCCTGTTTGGTATCGCAGATGAGTACTTTGGTGCATTTCCAGCAGTCTCGGTCGCCACGTTTACGCCTGACGCAAATGACAGCCTCTGAGACCAAGGAAGAAAGGGAGAGAGGCAGAGAAAGGGTGAACCCTTCCCTCCTTTAACCGAGTCTAGGCCTCTTTTGCCCCCAGGTCAACGGCAAATAAGTAACTAAAAATTAATCAAATTAAGTTTTAGCTTTGGGCCAGCCCAGGGCCTAAGCTCTTGACACTGAATGTTGATGGTGTTGATGGTCTCCTCAAGGTACGGCTGCCCCAGGGCCCCAGCTAACGGGAATTCTCAGGTCACCAAAATGTCCCTGATTTGCCCAGTTCTAGGGACTTTGCTCCATCTGGGTAAGAAGGAGAGAAAATTACATTAGTCAAGAACATTGATCCCCCCCCCAAAATGAATACTCTGCAGAACCCCAGTTTTCACGATAGATGAAAAGTAGCGCTGCCCTGATTGAGCTGGAGGGCGGAGAACAGGGCCCCGACCACTGCCCTCCTGCCCACAGAAAACACTCGGGCTGCGGGGGGCGTGGCTGGGCATACCGGATTAGAATGTCCCTGTGACAGAGGGCCCTGAAGGCCCTCGGAGACCTGACTGTGTCCAGACTGGGTCTAGTGGCCCGCTTCGCCTGAGCAGGTGGAGGGCTGAGCCGTCGTCTCGATGCCCTGGCAGGTGCCCGGCCGGGGCTCTGACCCCACCGAAGCCTCTGAACCACCACTCCTCTCCCCTCACAGGCTGACGCCAAGATGGTGTGTGACGTGGTGAGTCGGATGGAAGACACCGAGCCCTTCTCTGCAGAACTGCTCTCGGCCATGATGCGGCTGTGGGGTGACTCAGGAATCCAGGAATGCTTCAACAGGTCTCGGGAGTATCAGCTCAACGATTCCGCCAAATAGTGAGTGTCTCAGGCATGGGGAGGCCACCAGCAGGCCGCTGATGCGGGCGTGGAAGGGGAAGGGGATGGGGATGGGGACAGGGGGGCAGGGACGGGTCTGTGGCTGGGGGCAGAACGGCCATGAGATGTTCGGCCTTGGGGGTCAGGAGAGGCGTCAGGAAGCAGTGGGAAAGGGCTTCTCCCAACCCCTGGATGAGGACGAGGCTGGGGAGGTGAAGGACACAAGGGACCGCTAACCACAGGCTCCCGGAGGGCAGGGCCTGGCACTCCAGAAGGAAGGTGTTTAGGCTAATGACCACCTTTCCCCTCTGGAGAAGCCCCGACCCCATAAGTACAGATCAAGAGCCATGTAGGCAGAAAATAATCCCCATGATGCCATTTTGTTGTTTCATTTTAGAGAAAATTAACTTTCCAGTCCACTATCATTAAAATTAAAAATAAGGAAATAACCGAACACATAGTGTGTTATCACTAAATATGGGGAAGGAAAGGAGAGAAGAGAGAAGGGAAGGGAAGGAGAGGGAGGAGGCTCAGTGACAGCCAGAGAGCGCTGGAAGGGGAAGACAGGAGAGGCCGAGAAAGTGGCCTGGGGAGGACTGGGGGGGGGGGGGGGGGCGGGGGGGGGGGGGGGGGGGGGGGGGGGGGGGGGGGGGGGGGGGGGGGGGCTCTTCCTATGACAACAGCTTTGTCACTCAGGCTCCTGTGAGGTTTCGTGACCTTGTTCCCTAGATCAGAGGCACCATACCCCTGGGAATGGTCCGCCCTGGTTGGGAGCATGTCTTCCATCCTGGAGATGTTGGGATGACACCCCACTCTTGCAGTCTTGTGCCCGGCTTACCAGTGGGAGCCTCACTGACCTGTTCGGCCATCCTCACCCCAGCAGCTCCACCAGGACCACTCTGCCCCCAGGAGACCGTTGGCAATGTCTGGTTCTGACGAAGGTGGCAGTACTGGCATCTAGTGGGCAGAGGCCAGGGGTGCCGGCAAACACCGCACAGTGCACCGCCCTCCACAGCGAGGAAGCATCTGGCCCCAAATGTCAGTAGTGCTGAGACAGAAGCCCGGGTGACGTAGCAGAAGCCGGGGCCCCAAAAATGGCAGCTGCCAGTGGACAGTGGGCCACATTTGTTGGCCCAACTAAGGACATGAGTAAGGCCAGAGCATCTCCCATTTCTGCACACTTAGGCTGTCTACCGGGTAAGTGCTAGGTCCTGTGAGCCCCAGGTGGTAGTGACCCAGACCCCAGGCCCGATGAGCCCCCAGGGACACATTGGTGGGCCGGGGTGTGAGCCCAGGGGTTTGGGTCCACAGCGCCTTGTGCACACTCAAAGCACTCCTCCAGTGGATCCGGGCCTTACCCCTAGACCGTTACAGTGGGGAGGCAGTGCTGCTTCCTTCTCCCCTTCCCTGCCCCTGCTGGACCCAAGTCCAGGGCCTTCCCACCCCCCAGGTGCCCTTGAGGGCATCAAATTGGTGTTCTCCACTTAATTGTCCATTTAATTATAACGGGAATTTGTTGCAAAAAAAATGTGTAACAGTATAGAGAGATATAAAAATAATAGTAAATTCTCCCAAACCTGTCCCCCTCCAACTTTTTAAAAAAAATTTTTAATGTTTATTTTTGAGAGAGAGACAGAGACAGAGTGTGAGCAGGGTAGGGGCAGAGAGAGGGGGAGACACAGAATCTGAAGCAGGCTCCAGGCTCTGAGCGGGCTCTCAGCACAGAACCCGACACAGGGCTCGAACTCACGAACCATGAGATCATGACCTGAGTCGAAGTCGGACACTTAACTGACTGAGCCACCCGGGCGCCCCTTCCCCCGACCTTTTAACTATTTCCATTTCTTTGTCCCAGTGTCGTCCAGGCAAACCTGACCCTCCAACCTGCCTGTCTTCCAAGTCTCTTCCCCGCTTTCACCACCAGGTTTTTGCTAGTTAGGGCATTATTTGGGGATCTCCTGGTGGTTATTTTTATTACTTTAAATAAGCAGCTTGAGTCAGTGTTTGTCAACTCCCCAAGTCAGCCAAGGACATCAGCCTTCTTCTCTCTGCGTGTCTGTCTGTGGAACAGCGACAGGGCAAGAAAGGGCAGGGGGCGCCCCAGGTTGGGAAGGGCCTAAATGCTTCCTGGTCAGGCTGTGGCTTTGCTCTTGTGGCTGTAGGAGCCAGGTCTCCTTTTCCGAAAGAATCCTGGGTGCCATGTATGAAAATAGTTAACAGTACATTTTTGGTGACAGAGAGGGAGGGGGCCCCACTGGGCCGTCTCAGGGCCCAATCCCAGGGGGACTATGGGAGTGGCTCCCCAAGGCCCAGAGCCCGTCACTAGGTTCCCCAGCCGGTCACCTCATTCGCAGGTGAGGACACCAGGGCCGGTGCAGCCAGGCTCCTGGGCGGGCCCTCAGTGTCTCCCTGTGACACTGGGCAGGCTCTCCCCTTGCCCCTCCGAATGATCCTGAGATGGGCCCCAGAAGCCCAGAAACCTGAGCACGCGTCCGAGCAGGGGCTGTACAAGCCAGTTCCATGGTTTGGTTAGGGCTGTTTTTCTCCTCTCTCTCTCTCCTCCGGAGCCCACCCCTCAGGCTTTGCTCCTGCACCCCCACTGAGACCGCTCAGGCTCTTGATGGCCTCCTGGAACCCCCTCCTTGAGTCCCCCACCCCACAGTGCCCACCCCCAGGGAGGCTTCCTCAGGCTTCCTCCCCAGCCACCTCCCCGCTTCCTGCCTGTGCCCTCGCTGGAGTCCTTGAACCTCTTCCAGTCTATGCAGCATGCCTGGGTGATCTCCAGCCTCGTTGCCCTGAATTCGTCACACACCCAGAGGACACTCCCATTTGTCACCAGCCCCGCCCCCTTCCTGAGTTCTGCCTACTTGGTGTCCGTTGGGACATCTCAGCACATCTCAAATTCATACATGCCGGCTGACTCCTGGCTCCCACCCACCCCAGACCTGCTCTGCCTCTGCGCTTCCTCCCACCAGGTGCAGCCCCCTTACACCACGAGGAGGTGGCTTTAATGGGCTCTGCGTCCCATGCCCCACCCACCCCCAGGCCTGTGCACAGCTGCCCCTCACCTGCGGGGCTTCAAGGACCTCCCGACAGGTGTCCCTACGTCTCCCTCCTGATCTGCTCTCCTCATGGCAGCAGAGCCACTAGTCCAAGGCTCTTCGACAGAAGCTTCCCGTCCTACTCAGAGTGAAAGCCCAAGTGCCTACAGTCACTTGACGGGCCTACCCGCTGTGCCCCACCCTTGCCTCCGTCTCCCCACTCCGGTCCCGCGGCCCTCACCACCCCTGTCCGGTGTCTGCATCCCAGGCTCTCCTCCACTGCAAGATGGCGTCTGCACTGCCGGCTCCCTGAGCCTGCACTCCAGGATCATCCTGCCTTCCCCAGCCACCCTCTGTCCGCCAGCGGCCCTCCACAGACCTCCCCCTTACCAGCTGCCTGAGTCTTTCCTCCCGACATGTTCTAGGTCTTACTTAGCTGCTCATTATCTCCCATGCGCGTGCGCACCAGGCTCCAGGAAGGCAGGGACCGTGCTGGTCCTGTTGCTGGTCTCCCCCCACCCAGGACAGCAGGTAGGGGGCATATACAGCAGGCCTCTCCCTTGGCCATCTCCCTGTGCGAGACTCGGCCAGCACGGAGGGACGGAGGGCCAGCTTTTCTATCTAAAGGAGGTTTTCCGGCTGGGATGGGGGCGTCTTGCAAGCCCTGGTGTCCAGCTGGAGACAACAGAACGAGGGTCATTTCAAGACCAGCATGGGTCCTGAGCAGAGGCAGTGGAAGTGGGGGGAGGGCTGTGCCCAGAGGGCTTAGGAGAATTGGGAAGGGCCAGGAGGAGCTCCTCCAGGCTGAGCCCAGAGCCCAGACACCCCCAGGGGCCTGGCAAGGAGACGCCGAGGCCGCCAGAGCCTCCCGGAGGCTCCTTCCACAGAGGAGAGCACGGTATCTGGGGTCAGGAACACCCAGGCTCAAATCCTAGCTGTGGTGTGACTTCAAGCTTACTCCTCCTATGCCTGGGCGCCCACCATTCAGTTTTGGTTCCTTAGGAAAAATCCTCACAAGGATTTGAGGCAGGCCTGGATTATTGGTTTACCAGTGGAAACCCTCACTGGTAAAGCCACCCCACCTTTCAGCCCCATGAACATCCTCAAGCCAAAGAGCTGCTCCCCATGCATCCAAGGGCTGGTGTTAATGGAGGACAGTTCTCCACAGGCAACCTGCCACCCCACATTGTCCTGTGTCCCTCGGACCCTGGGGGCTCCTGCCTTGTGGGCTGTGTGTGCTTCTTCCCCCACCAAGGGGTGGGTGACTCAGCCAACCCTGTGAGTCACTGAATGGCCCGTCAGATCTGGCCCACCTCCCACATTCCTGGTTTTCTGGCTCCCACCCCGCTTTGGGTTCAGACCTAACCCATACATGCCCCCAAAGCCCTACTGGGTGCTCGGCTGGGATGGGTAAAATGCAAAGGCCTGGTCTGGTGGTGATAGGAAAAGAGAGCCCTGATGCCAAAGACGTGGGTCCACTGTGTGACCTCTGAGCCTCCCGTCCAAGGGCACCAATAGGAAGGTGGGTGGATGCCCTGGTAGACTGTAAGCAAGTGTGGAAAGGTGGGCAGATGCCCAGAGGGCCTTCTGGAAGCACTCTAGAATACTGTTAAGAGATAGACCAGGAGCTAGATGTCTGCCTTTGAGCCAGGGCACACAGCTGGGCCGGGTACTTAGCCCTGTTGACCCTTTGTTTTCTAATCTATAAAATGGTACTTTTAACTCAGGAAAACTAAGGATGAAACATGGTCACACATATAAAGGGTCGAACGTAACTATCGGCCACTATGATTTTAAGATGAAGATAGATGACAAAACAGCATTAAAACAGTCTCATGTAAGAGTCTGACCTTCTCTAAATGCATCTGGAACTGCACACACAGCCCCTGACTCAGCGAGAAGCTCTTTGAGAATGTGAGGCCAGGACTTAAGCTTCTGCTGCTCCAATGGCACCCCCAACGTGGGCCTGGATGAGGGGGTGCCGTCGCTTCCATGGCCGGCCCCCAGGGGGCGCTGGCCAGGGCTGGGCTGGCTTGTTCCAGGGCCCCTGTGTGTTGCCGTCCCCAGCTACCTGGACAGCCTGGATCGGATTGGGGCCGCCGACTACCAGCCCACCGAGCAGGATATCCTCCGAACCAGGGTCAAAACCACTGGCATCGTGGAAACCCACTTCACATTCAAGAACCTCCACTTCAGGTGAGGCCCGGGGAGCCTCCCAAACCCTGGCGAGGACACTGTGACAGATGGGAGCCACCAGCCTCTCCGCCTTGTCTTGTCTGGAACACCCAGTTATCGCCCCGCCTTAGGGAGCTTTCCAGTTGGGACAGACAGTAGATATGAGAAAGGGCCTGTCTGTGTGTCCAAGTTCGGGGGCTGGGATGAACAGGGAAGCTTCCTGGAAGAGGCAGCGTTCTAGAGTGAGCCTCCAAGGAGCAGAGAGGATTTGAATAGACAAAGGATGATAGTCCTGTCCCTGGGTGACTTCTGAGGAGGACATAGCCCCTCAAAGGCCTCCTTATGAGGAGGGGGAGGGGATGAGGATGGATAAGCCCAAGAAAATCTGTGAGACCCCGAGGACCCAGATTATCTCAGAGCTAGAAGGGGCTTAGAGATTAGCTGACCCGCCGTCTCTGAGTACATGTGGGGAAACAGGCCTCAGAGCAAGCACAGAACAGAACTCAAGTCCAGGGCCTTCAGAGCACCATCAGAACAGGGGCCCCCTCGAGAGGCGTGTCTCCCCCCGCCCCAGGGTAACCGCCACACACTGAGGCCTAGGAGTCCCTGTCTTGCCCCCTTCTACCTTCCAGATGTGGTTTCTGGGTGTTGGTGGGACAGAAGAGAGGCCAGGAGGCGGAGAGGCAGGCAGTCATCTGATGGGGAGGGGTGGCACTTTGTGGACACATGTTGGTCAGACCCCAGCTCTACCGTGCCGGCTCTCACCAGGGCCAGGGGCACTTAACCCTGTGTGGCCTCCCTTTCCCTCTACACAACAGGTGACAGTCCCCGCTTGCTTGGTTTGGAGTTTGCCCAGACCGCAGACGTGAGCAGACACACTCGGAAGGCCAGGCACAGGGTGTGCATGCTGCCTGACAGGAGGACCCGCAGAGGCGTCTCCTGGGGGCAGCTGAGCCGTACCCCTCAGGACAGTTCTCGAGGTGCAGGGGCGGGTGTTCGAGCCCCCGCATGCGAGCACAACCGAGTCACAGGACGGACGGCCGTGGCCTGCCCGTCAGCACCTGAAGTGGGGCTCCTCGGCAGGCTCGGGGCTCGACAGGGCCTCCCCTCACCTGCCTGGGGCCCACCGCCCACCACTCACAGACGGCTCCCATCTCCCCACCAGGCTGTTCGACGTCGGGGGCCAGCGATCTGAACGCAAGAAGTGGATCCACTGCTTCGAGGACGTCACAGCCATTATCTTCTGCGTCGCGCTCAGCGGCTATGACCAGGTGCTCCATGAAGACGAGACCACGGTGAGTGGCCCCAGGCCCATCCGGCCTGTGGAGGTTCTGAGGGGCCCAGCTGCGCTCTGCCCCGCGGGCCCCATGGGCGCTGGGGCAGGGCCAGCCGCTCCCTCTCCTGGGCAGACGCCCCTGCCGCCAATGCAGGGGAGGTGGCCGCAGCCCGCCCCAGCTCAGGAGCTGTGTGCAGCTCGATGATAGACACCTCTGCGGCCTCTGGGACTCAGGCAGTTAGTGCCTCTTCAGTAAACACAGCGGAGTCACCAAGGCCATCGGCCAGAACAAAATTAAGCAAATCCTAAAAGAAATCAAGGTTGCAGTCAAGCAAGAATGTATGTAAGACAGAAATAGCAGCTCTTTGCCCCGACAGCCCTCCCTTTGGTGCTGCCAGGAGAGGTGTGGGGCAGGCAGCGGGAGGGCAGAGCCCGCGGCACGCCGGTTAGCACCCCTCTGCCCTGGTTCCCGCCTGGGCTCCGTGGGTCGCCCTCAGTCTGGGGCCTTGGAGGACACCAAGCTGGCTTCAAAGGGAGTCCTCACCTGCAGATGGAGAGAGGTGCTGCCTGATCTGGGCCTCTGCTCCTGGTTTGTTGCCACATTCAGGCACCCCCCGCCCCGCCTCGGTTACTATTATCTGTCACAGTGGGGTAACAATAGTACCTACGTTGGGGGCCGTTGGCTAGAGAATGAGAGTGCGCGCGTGAAATACTTGGAACCGTTTCTGGCACGGCAGCACTGAGCTGGTGGTTGTATTGTCACTGGTGACTGTCCCCAAAATGAGGGTGTCCCCCGAGCAGCGGGCCCGTCTGCAGAGCCTGCAAGGGAAGCCAGGTGTTGGCGTGGTGCACCCACAGGGTCCCCGGACACAAGCCTGTGGCACCTCTTGGGGGTCACGGGGTCCTTGGCGTGTGTCAGCTCCTTCTGTGGGCAGTGCGCACTGACCCTGGGCCCCGGAGCCTCTCAGAGTCGGCGATGAGCATTTGAGGCAGTTTGTCATCTCGGGTAGGGCCTTGAGCAAGGCTGTCTCCTCTCTGGGTGTGTTTCCCTGTAGTCCTGGTCTGCTGGTGCCACAGCGCAGATCCGATGGGCTACGGGCTGCGGGGAGGGACGGGCACAGCAGTGAGGCTTTCAAAGGCTGGGGCTGGAGCTGTTGGCGGGGTGAGTGATCCACATGTGGTGTGTCCACATCGCCCTTCCTCTTGGGGCCAGCTGCACCCCTTAATTGGGTTTCAGCAAAGCCCCCTAAGCCCTGGCTTGTCCAGAGGTGAGGTCCCTGGGGCCTTGGCTGTGAGCTCTTTCTGGTAACGTGGTCGTTCTCAGGAGCCTCGGCGGCTGTGGCGCCTCAAATCACTGGAGCTGGGCGGGGCAGGGGGGACACACACCCTGGGCTGTGCTTGGACCCGAACTCGCTGGCCGCCACGCCGCCTGGGGTCTGTTGGTGGCCGGCCCCACAGGGCGTCCCTGCTCAGGGACGGCCCTGGCACATCTCTCACTGTTCCGCCGCCTGCCTCTGTGCTTCTGGAGCTGCCAGTCACCATCCGGTTGGCCACCCACGTGGCCTGGGCTCCACTTGGCTTGTCCGTCCTTCCTCCAACGCCCAGGAGTAAGAAGCAGGGCTGTGCAGGGAACCTGATGCTAACCCAGCCACGGGTTTTAAAGAAAGGAGAGAGCTGGAGGGCAGAGGGGCCCCTGTCTCCTGCAGCCTGCCCTCCCAAGGCTGCCCGCAACTCAAACCCAACTCCCAGGCTCCACAGCCATGGGGCTGGGACCTCTCATGCGTCAGGCAGAAGCAAAGGGTCCGAGAGCTACAGGGCCCCAAGCTCTTGGGCCTTTGGGGCCGGGCAGCCGCCAGGCTCTGTGCTCGGTAGCCCTCCCGGTCTGCCCACCTGGTTCAGCCCTGCTGCTGAGCGGAGCACCCCCCCCGGGGAGCTCTCCCCATAGACCCCTGCACCTTCCTTCTCTTCTTGCCTTTACTGTCCCTCTCCCACTCTCCCTCCTCTTTCTTCCTGCCCCATTTCCCCTGCCCTTCTTCATAAGGGCTGAAGCCCAGGACCTTAGAGGAGCCAAGGCCAGGAATGGGCTTTCCCTGGGGCCGTTTGCTCCCCACAGCAGGCTGCCCCTACCTCCTGGGCAGAGCAGCAGCCCCTCCAGGAATGGGGTCCCCAACATGACAACAGCTCACAAGGCGGCTCATTGCCGGGGGCGGTGGGGGGCAGCAGGAACTATACCATCGCTATAGGACTAAGCAACATCTGTGTGTCCGGGACTTGGCAGCATCTGGCGGCCGGGGAGCCAGACAGGCGTGGTCCAGGGTCCGGCCCTGCCTCTGCCACGGGGCCAGCGTGGGCAGCCTCTCCACTTCCTCTTTCGTAAAGTGGCCGCGGTGGCAGAGCAGCCTGGCGGGCAGCCGTGGGACCCACCGCACGCAGAGCCACAAGAACACCTGCACTCAGGACTCTGCATGCGGTAGATGGCCATCATCAGCACTCCGTCCAAGGTCATGGCTGAAGGACAAGCTGGAGACACGGATGCTCGGCCCCTGGGAGGCAAAAGCTAGGCTCTGCTGACCAGTCCTTGGTCCTCAGACTTCCTCTGGGATCAGCCTGCACGTCCCCCCCGGCTGGGGCAGAAGTTGGGACTGTCAGGACAGGTGTCTGGAGGCAGCTCCTGGAGGCTGGCCACCCGCCGGCCAGGCTGCCCTGTCCACTGCACCCCAGCACCCTGAGGGTCACATCCTGGCCTCCTACCTCAGGCCCGTGGCTCCAGCGGCCTTGGGCCTCAGCCTGCCACCATTTCTTCACTGTCACTACCATCACCACTGCCTGCAGGGCCTTAACTTGCCAAACCAAGGCCAAAACCATGAGCAGATTCTGAGAGAGCCTCCAAGCTGGGCAGGTATGAAGCGCCTCCCTCCAAGCGAAACCATCAGCTAAGAGTTGAAAGCACCAGGTTGTCAGGGCGCCGCTGGGTGACTTTGCTGTGAGTGCCTTCCCCGCCCACCCTCGCCTTCCATCTCCAGTCCCCGGGCACCGTGGCCGGCACCGTGGCCTAGGCCAGCCTGCTTAGAGGCCTCCGGATGGGCTGGTCTTGACCTCCTGGCCCCGAGACTGGTCGAACCAATATTTCAATTTTTCTCTCTTTCTTTCCTGTGTTCTTCTGGGTTTTTATCTTCCTTTCTGTTTTACTCTGTTTTGCTGGGTTTCTTCTTGGGGTTCTTCTGGCCGCTCTACTGAGAAACCAGCCCCAACAACGAGCTCCCCCAGAGCTGCCCCTGGCCCAGCCACCTCCCAGCCCACCAACCCCATCCCCCAACCGCGCCAAGGCCACAGCAAGATCACCCCCTAGACGCTGTCCCCCTGGTGGCTGCTTCCAACTCTGGATTAATTCGAGGATCTCTCAGACCTCGGTTAATGTTTCCCACCGGAATGTGTGCACCCTCCCACCCCCGCTGGTGAAACCGAATGAGACCCCGGTAGAGAAATCTGCATGGCCCGTGGTTCCGTGTAGACGTGTTGGATGGCGGTGCTGCCCCTGCGTGCATGGTGCATGTCCTGTCCTCGAGCCGGAGCCCCTCCAGGGCCTTCGCTGCCCAGCCAACGGCGGCCCTCCTGGGGGAGAGGGGACAGCATTCCTCACCCTGCCCGCCCTGCTCTGCCCCAGCCTGTCTGCGTGTGGAATGAAATAGGGACCGCGTCCCGTGTGTCCTGTGCGTCCCCCGTCTCTGTCCCTCGGTGGTGCGTTCAGCCACGCTGGTGGGCCTCTCCTTCGCTTGTTCCGCTGTTGGTGGCCGCGGCGAGTCAGGGCCCCTGGCACCGCCAGCCCTCACTTGCCTCTTCGCTCTGTTGCAGAACCGCATGCACGAGTCCCTGAAGCTTTTCGACAGCATCTGTAACAACAAATGGTTCACAGACACGTCCATCATCTTGTTTCTTAACAAGAAGGACATATTTGAAGAGAAGATCAAGAAGTCCCCGCTAACCATCTGCTTCCCTGAATACACAGGTAGAGTCCCCGCACCCAGGCAGGGACAGCCCGCTTCTGGCCACGCTAGTGCCTGAGGAGTCCCCCACCCCCCGCCCTGCCAAGCCCGGTCCACCTCTCCTGTGCTCTGAGGACACCCCAGATCCTGGGAGGAAGAACTCAGCACAAAAGATGGGGCTCCCAGCCCCTGGAGTGTGCTGCAGTGAGGCAGGCCTGGCCGCTGGGCCGCCCGTGGGGCCTCCTGGGGGGAGGGGTGGGAAACAGGGCCTACAGTCCTGGCTCCGCTGCCTCTTGGAGGCGCCGCTTGGTCATCTGTAAACACAGATTGTTGGTGAGGTAGCAACAGCGGGATGATGAGAGGGTTGAAAGCTGGGGCTTTTCCCATCAGGCAGCCTGAGGCTCATGCCCAGCCCTGCCACTCATAGCAGGTTAGATAACTTCTGGGAGCTTCCACATGCCCGTCTGTGAGATGGGGATAATCACTGTGACTGTGCCCCCCTCCCTCCAGACTTGCCACGTGGACAGAGTGAGGTAATGAGCATGGAGAGCTTAGCGTGGACATAGTAAGTGCTCACTGAACATCACAATGGTGATGATAACCGACAGGTGCCGTAAGAGCACCTCCCAGGGGGCAGTTAGAAGACGCAAATGGCCCGTTGGCTGTGACGGAGTCCTGCAAGCAGCAGAGAGCCTGGCCTCCCGGCAGAGGGGCCAAGGCTGTCAGAGCCACCTGCTAGCGTTGCCGTGGCTCAGCTAACTGGGGCGTACGAGCAGCCGGGGAAGACAGTGTGACCAAGGCCCCAGCAAAGTTGGCCAGCATGGCCCAAGTGCCCACTGGCTCTTCCAGATGGCCAGGGCCTGACCAGGGGGTGAGTGGATGGAGAAGTGGGCTTTCTGGCCTGACCAGCCCCTGGCCTGGAAAGCACAGGGCAAGGGCAGGGTCCCACCAAGGCAGATGTGTCAGGGGAACCCCCACCTCCCTGAGAGCAGATGTGGGGGTCATGACCTGGGGCCGGGCAAGCAGCACTGTCTCTCCCTTCCTCGAGGCCAGGCCCCCAGTGGCATGCACCCAAAGATGGGCAATGCCCTCATGCCCAGCAGTCAGCCTTCTCTTAGCCCTAAGTTGGGGATCTGTGGATCCTGCCCTAGGTGACCTGGGCTGTGGCCTGTGGTAAAGTGGAAGCAGGCGGGATGGGTCCGTCCCCGAGGCTGGTCTGGGGCTGAGGAGGCCTGAGTTACTATCTTTAGGTCCCAGAGACGCTCTCCCTCACCTCCAGCCCAGACTGCAGAAGGAGCTGTGGTCCGGTAGACCCTCAAGGCCAGGCCCACGTGCCCATGTGCCTGAGGGGCTGGGGCCTCCTTCTAGGTCAGGCCAGTCCGTACAGCAGCCACCCTAGCCTAGCACCGTGGCTCCAAGATCCAGCCCCACTGCCTACCTGCCCTCAGTCGGCCGCGGCCGCCCTACCCTGCCTGGGCCCAGACTCCCGGAGCCTGTGGGGGCCTCAGTGCAAAGCGGGGAGCCCCATTCTGTTTCTCCCCAGACAGCAGCCGCTCTCCCGGGCTCACCTGGGAAGAGCAGTGTGGCAGTCCCCGGGAAGGTGGCAGCGTCAGGCACTTGTGAGTCCCAGGTGGTGACTGTGATAAAGGGGAAGGGTGAGGAGGAAGAGGGAGGAGGCCCAGGTAGCTCACTGGCGTCCAGCAGCGGCCATAGGAGGTGACCTGGGGAGGACCTTGGGCCCACCTGCTCTGGGCAGGACCCACGGCACAAAAGAACATTTGCATCAGGAGTCAGTGGGTACAGATTTAGAAGGAAAACAGGAGTTTCATTAAACAGGACTGACCCTTAATATGGACGAGGCACAGTGGGATTTGATCTTCTGCTTCATTATTTTCAAACTGGAGGTGGACCACCAGCTTGATTTCGTGGCCCCCTGGTGACCTAGCTGAGCTGTCAGCCTCCCCCAGTCAGGTTTTGCCCTCAGGCTTTGTCACCAGGAGGCCCTGGGCCTCAGGGACACCCTGGTGGTGGCCTCGCCTCACCAGCCCCGCACCTGCTCTCTCCTGCAGGCCCCAGTGCCTTCACGGAGGCCGTGGCTTACATCCAGGCCCAGTACGAGAGCAAGAACAAGTCCGCCCACAAGGAGATCTACACCCACGTCACCTGCGCCACCGACACCAACAACATCCAGTTTGTCTTTGACGCCGTGACGGACGTCATCATCGCCAAAAACCTGCGGGGCTGCGGCCTCTACTGAGCCCTAGCCTCGCCGACCAGCTGCCCGCCTCCCTGCCTGGACTGCCGCCCTGCCCCTCCCCCAGGACCAGAGCTCCGTCACCTCACAGACCACTCTCTGCACTTGACCAAGAAGCGCCAGCCACTGGCACTGAGGAGGAAGGAGGAAGCCCCCTCCGCCAGCCGCCCCTCCCCCAGACATCAGAAGGCGTGGTAACCCGTGGGCTGGGTGGGGGTGCCGAGTGCCCGCACCACTGGCCTCCGCTTCATCTCTGAGTGTTGTGTCCTGGGGAGAGGGGTGTGGGGGCCCAGGTCCCCCTTTAGTCCAGAATGGGCATGCACTGCACTTGGTGACTCATACTCAAAGTCCCAGGGTCTCCTCCCATGTGGGGGTGGCTCTGGGGACAGGGTGCTGGCTGGGGTGGGGGCCGCGGGGGCCACTGCTCAACTTCTCCAGGGGTCTTTCTGGTCGAGTGCAGCTCCGTCAGTAAAAGCCAGGGTGGGACCAGCCCAACCACGCGTGGGTCCCGGGGCTCAGGCTGCAGCCAGTGCCTCCCTCCTCCTTCGGCCTGGATCTCAGCCCCCAGGCACAAGCCCCTTCTTCTCTGGACCATCCTTCCTTGCACACCTTGGAGGTTCCCACTGCCTTCTGGGGAACCCCCATCCCTGGCTCCTCGGTAGGTCTGGAAATGCTTCTGAGACTTCTTGCAAAGGCACGTGGTCGATGGTCGCAGGGGTCGAGTGCCGCGCCCGGAAGGAGGTCATGGAGGAGGTGGGACGCGGCAGGGGAGGGGAGGCTGAGGGGAAGTAGCTCTGGTGTTGACTGGGATGGGGGCGTCACCCCCAATGCTTGCAGGCTCAAGGATGACCCTTTCACTTTCTCCCCTCACCTGGGTCTCTGGAAGCTGCTCCAGAATGTGAGTAGGTGTGCTTTTCCTTTTCAAGTTCACTGTGAATCCCGCTCAAGCCAGCGAGGCCAAGTGGGGCCCCTCAGGCACTGTGTTCTGAGGTCGAGGAGGCCCAGGGGAGGTGTTGATGTGGCCCCTGCGGCCAATACCCCAGCTTCCTTCTGTCTCGGTGAAGAAAACAGTTTGTCCAAAGCTGTTGGGGTCCCGCCAGCCCTCAGGGTCAGAGGAGGAAAGACGGATGGGAGCACCATCCTGAGGGGCCCAGGCTGCCTCAGACACCTACCCACTCCCCCTTCTCTGGAGAGAGAATCCTCGAACGCCCTGGAGGGGCTTTGCTGCAGAGATTTCCAACCAGAAAGGGGTGGGGTGCCTTGTTTTGGTAACCCAGGCCCTGGCTGGCCTCGGGCAATCAACATACCTCTCCCTTACACCCAGGAGCCTCCAGTGGGCTAATGCCACCAGCCACCACCCCAGGCTGGCCTGGTGTGCTTGTATGGCCGTCTGTCCTAGGGGTCAGATGTGCCCATGGTAGCAGAGAGGGCTGCCCTTTAAGAAGCCTCTGGCCTCCACTCTGAACTTTGTTCCTGGACTCCCACTATAGCCCCTGAGCTGCCCCAGAGCCTGGAAGAGCCTCGTGCCCACAGCTCTGGGCTTCGTGGTTCCAGCAGGCACAGAGCTCTGGGTGGTGCACGGGAAGCCCAGGGCATCCTCCCTAGTGCCAGGTGCCTGCCCGGATGGGTGCCACTGGTGAGCCGTACCCCTCGCCCGGGACACCTACTGCTGCCCCGTCCCTGTGGGAAGTCAGCAGGCAGCCAGGCCACAGGGACCAGCCCCCACCAGCCCAGGCCCACTGCGGCTTTGCCTGCCTCGCCATGTGCTGGACCTTGCACCAGGTGCTGGGTCGTGGCACAGGACAGGCCTACCATGAGCAGCCAAGGCCAATGAGGCCTTGTCTCATTGTCCGACAGCGAACACATGGCAGTTATTTCCCAGCATCACCGCACCTTGGAAGTGATCTGCTGTGCCCCTAACTCTGCCCCGTGACCCCAGACTCAAAAGCAGCCACCAAGAGGAAGGATGCTTGGCCAGCGCTACCTCTAAGGCCATCGCCCTGGAGGTGGAAGTCACTGGCCCTGCGGGCCCAGGGTTCTCCTGCCAGCTGCCCCTGCCCTCCTCTGTGGCACCGGGAGGCTGGAGGGGCCTTCCTGTCCTTCTGTGCCCTGGGCTGCCCTGCCGCTGCCTGTAGTGCTCTCGCTGTCCCACCCCAGCCTGCGTGGGGTGCTCGGCTGTCTAATGGAAGCCCACGAGGAGAGGGCATCCAGCACAAAGTGCCCTCCTTGTCCACTGCGTCTCCCATCTACGCCGTTTCTAGTGGCTTCAGCATGGGGAGGGATGCCTGAGGGTGACAGATGAGTTCTGGCTCCGTCGTGGGTGTGGATGTAAGGGGACGATGTTGTGAGTGAGACCCCAGACATGGCGCGAGGTGGGGGTGCGTGTCCCCAAAAGGACCATGCCTTAAACTCTGTGACTGGCTCTAGTTTAGCAGGCTGAGGGGAAACTGGATTTCTAGGAGGGGCGCCTTTGCCAAATCCATGAAAATTGTGCCTGCCGTTTAGATGCCTGTGGGCGAGTTCTGTGCTCTGCACCGACTGCCCTCCCAAAAGCCAAGTCTGGGCCTTCCGGCTGAGAACTGAGGTTTCCCGGGGCTCAACCTGACTGGAGGGAGCTGTGCATGAGGCCCAGGTTGGGGCTCAGCTGAGTCTGTGGCCTCTGGCCTGAGGAGGGTGTGGGCTCCGCCCTGCCACCTGAGCCAAAAGCACAGCTCTGCGTCTCTCGCCATCAGCTGTGACATTCTGGGTTCCGTGGCCATCTTCCATGGAGGCCTTAGACGCCAGGTGCCCAGGCCCTTCCTCTCCCCTCCAGCCCCAGCAGAGCTGAGGGCCCATAGCCGTGTGCACCAAATACCCAGGTGTAGTGGCAGAGCCCAGCCCGGCTCCACGCCCCACTGTGGGAGCCAGGACACCCATGCCCTCCGCCACTGCGCTGGGCATCAGTGAGTCTCCCCCAGGGCGGGCAGCAGCGGCAGGGTCCTCCCCACGCAGGCCCCCAGCAGGGCAGCCCTCCAGCCAGGCCTTTCCTCCGCCAGCGTGAGCCCCCACTGAGAGCGAGAGCGTTTACAGTCATCCCCCAGGGGTTGATTCTGCAAGTTTTTCCTGACTCCCGCCTCCCTTCTTGACACCCCTCCTCTCTCCACCTGGCCTCACTCACTCCTGCTCATCTTCTGCCTCCTCCCCACCCGCCCCTACCCAGGCAGGGGGAGCCCGGGTGCTGCTGTCCCTCTGAGTACAGCGGTCCCCCCTCCCAACCCTGCATCCGCCGCCCACCCCCATATTAACTGTAATTTTGTAAGAAGAGTGACTTGTTGGTTTAATAAATCTCTAGTTATTGTAATAATTTATTGGCTACCGTAATGTATTTATTAGTCACCTGCCGTTAATAAAAAGTGCCAGCTTTTTCTAGTGCCAAGTGTGGTGTGTTGTGTCAGTGCCCAAGGAGCTTCCCCCAGGTGCACCCACATGACACGTGTCCTCGGGCCCTGCACAGGTCCGGTCCCAGGGCCAGGGCCGTGGGCCGCCTGGCAAAGGAGCGCACTCGACTGGAGGCGGAAGGATTCTGGGCAACTGGCCTGACCCTGCTGACCTCTTGGGATTGTCGTGAGCCCACCTTCCTGTCCCAGTGTGCTTGGGGCCGGCCACCCCACCGCCCTGGGGGACCCAGCAGCCGGGCCTGTGGCCGGTGGGGGCTGGGGAGAGACAGGAAGGTGAGCGTGGACAGGAGTGGGTGGCTGTCGCCCGGCCGTGGTCCCTGGCTTCTTGCTCTTTCCTCGAGTGGTACTGTCTTCCTTTGAGTGTACCGCACGCAGCGTCTGTTTTCTCCAGCTTCTAAGGACTAGCAGGGCTCCTGGCTCCGTGGTGCTGGGCTCCGGTCAGTGTGCGGAGGGACGGCAGTCGGTCGTGCACGTGGGGAGGGGGGCTCAGTGCCGGCGCCTCCCCACCTCACTGCTCTCCCAGAGTCTTCTGGATCAGCCCTCTTCCAAGGCTCACTCCAAGACCTTCCCCACAAAACCGGGTCGGACTGTGCCTCTCCAGACCACAGACCTCTGCGGTGCATGTGCACTGTCCCCTCAACTAGACTGTGAGCTCTCAGAGAGCAGGACTCGAGCTGGCTCTTCCTGCCGCCCCGTCGCAGCCCAGCAGAGGCGCATCCAGTCCGTGCTGCTGGGCAGAGCGCGGGTGTGTGCGGCCGCTCTGCAGCCCCGGCCAGAGGCCGTGGGAGGGCTGAGCCTCTGCCCTGTGGAGCCCCGGGGCCCACGCGGCCCCTGCGCTCCTGCGAACAGACACAGTCCCTCCTCGGCTCAGGTCACTCTGGGAATCCCTTCCGATCCTGGGAGTCCTCCAGCATGTGTCCCCACTGCATCCCCGTGGGTCTGAAGGTCCAAACAATGCTCGGGACGTCGGCTGTGCAGTGGGGTCTCTGGCTGCGCGCTTCTGGCTCTTGCTTGAGCCGCTGTGGGACCAGGCAGCTCTGTGTGGTGGGAGGCCTTTTCCTACTGAGTCCTTGCGTCGTGGAGCGTCCCTACTCTGCCGTCGGAGGTGAGGCATTGAGCCTGAGCATCCCCAGCCCTCAGCAGGGAGCCTCCGTTCACGCAACCTCCGCCCGTCCTCTGAACAGGCCCCGTGGCGACAGCCCCTCTGAGTGCGACTGTGCACGTGACAGGCCGACTTTGGGGGGCTGAGAGTGGAATGTGCCGGATGAGGCCAGGAGGCTGACGAGGTCATAGGTGTTAACTGGTCCAGCAGAGAGAAGGACTAGGCCGTTCACCGCAGCTCCTAGAGGCGGTAGTGAATCCATGCCAGTTGTCTGCAGGCTCCTGAGGGGCCACGGAGGGCCAACAGGGCTTGGGGCTGAGGCCCTTGCAGGTCACTGGCATAATAGTGCAGACACGGGAGAGCGGCCAAAGACGCACAGAGCTGGTCGTGACCCTCTTACCCGTTGTTCCTCTAAGGGCCGTAGGCAGCCCACATTGGCTGGATGAACCATTGTGTTTCGTAAGCTCTAGATCTGGCCCAGAGCTGGGTACACGTCTCTGCTCTTCTGGGCTCCAGCTGTCACCTCTCATTGTCCCCTCATGCTTAGTGAGGCTAAATAACACAAGGCAGGGGATGTGCTGGACTGGGTGCTGGCAGGGTGGGGCCCAGTGAGCCACGGTCGTCACTCTGCCATCTTTCCTCACCCTCTTCTGCTCTGATAGAGGAAGGGGCCCTGGCAAATGAACTTACTCAGCTCTTACTGCTCACTCGGCCTCCGCGGAATAATGCCCAGTGATGCCCACGCCACCTCTCTGCGATGATTTGTTTCAGTCTTCATATGACGGAGGGACAGTGTAGCCTGGAATTACCATGGAGCTGA